AAAAAAATCCATCTATCACTATGAAAAAGCAAACATATCAAAATGCTAATTTAACCTCTAAGATTCATTATGATTCATCAGGCACAAAGGAGACTAGCAAAATCAAACTTCAAGTATCCACTCATATTTCAAATCATGGAATTCTCTTCTTGGCTTGGGTAAATTATTATCATTGCAAATAGTTGTTACAAAAATACCTGAAAATACTTAGGTCTATACATGGGGAACTCATCAAATTTGCAGACGACACCAAGCTTGCAGGAATCGCCAACACTCCAGAAGACAGGCTTAAGATACAGAAGGATCTGGACAGACTTGAACACTGGGCACTATCTAACAAAATGAAATTCAATGGTGAAAAAAAGCAAGGTTCTACATTTAGGCAAGAAAAACCAAATGTACAGGTATAGTATATCAGGGCTTTTCAACCTTTTCACCCATTGTACCACTTTTAGGATATGGCAACATCTGAGTACCACCAGTTGCCTAGCAAGGTGTCAAAAACTTGATGACCCAAAAAAAAAAAAAAAGGAAAAAAGTGATAAAGTACAGGTAGTCCTCGACTTACAACAGTTCACTTAGTGACTGTTTGAAGTTACAATGGCACTGAAAAAAGTGCCCCCCAAGCCACAGCCGAGCAAGACACCTGCCTGCCTGCCCGGCCGCGTTCTTCCTTCTGTCCGAGGTTTTCATTGTTGTGAGCATTTCTGTTGAGGATTGGCAGCAGGGGTGGGGTGGGGGGGTTGTTTTTTATTCCCCCCATCTTCTGGGTGGTTGCAGAAGGTTTTGGTCACTTCACATGACCCTGGGACACTGTGACCATCATAAATATGAATCAGTTGCCAAGCATCTGAATGTAAATCACAAGACCCTGGAGATGCTACAACATTCCAGCTGATCGGCTCTTCTTCTGGGCTCAGCAGAAGCGCCAGGATCAGTGCTGCTTTCCAAGTGACTGGTGCTTCTTCAGGGCTTAGCAGAAGCACCAGGATCAGCGCCGAGCTGCAGCTGGAGCCTGGCGCTGATCCTGGTGCTTCCGCTGAGCCCGGACACCCCTGCAGCTCCAGCCATCTCTTGCTCAGGCTTGTACAGTGCTGCCACTGGTTCAGCTCATTCCCCTCCCCCGCTACCACTTTTCTAGGATGGTCGCGTACCACCTCCTAGGTGCCAATGTACCACAGGTACCACTGGTTGAAAAGCCCTGTAGTATAGGGCCGTGGTGGCAAACCTATGGCACGTGTGCCACAGGAGGCACACAGAGCTGTCTCTGGTGGCACGTGAGCCATTGCTAGGCCGAGCTGTTCCCTCCTCCTCTCCGCGCATGTGCAGCTCTCCGCGCATGCGCAGTCTGGGAATAGGCGAGAGGCTATAAAAGGAGCAACTTTTGGCGTAAGCAGCATTTGCTGCAGACAGCAAGCGAGTGAGCACAAGTCGGAGCGGAGAGCGAGCGAGCAAGTGAGCACGAGCCGACAGCTTGGTGGCCACGCCCACTCAGTGGCCGTGCCCACCTGGCACCCGGCGATGCATAAGTGGGTTTTGGCTTGCAGTTTGGGCACTCGGTCTCTAAAAGGTTTGCCACCACTGGTATAGGGGGTACCTTGCTCAATAGTAGTAACTGTGAGAGGGACCTCGGAGTCCTAGTGGACAATCACTTAAATATGAGCCAGCAGTGTGCTGCAGCTGCCAAAAAAGCCAACACAGTGCTGGGCTGCATTAACAGAGGGATAAAATCAAGATCAGGTGAAGTTACAATGCCTTAGTAAGGCCACACTTGGAATACTGCATCCAGTTTTGGTCACCACAATGTAAAAAAGATGCTGAGACTCTAGAAAGAGTACAGAGAAGAGCAACAAAGATGATTAGGGGACTAGAGGCTAAAGCATATAAGGAACGGCTGTTGGAATTGGGTATGTCTAGTTTAATGAAGAGAAGGACGAGGGGGGACATGAAAACAGTGTTCCAACATTTCAGGGGCTGTCACAAAGAAGAGGGAGTCAAGCTATTCTCCAAAGCACCTGAAGGCAGGACAAGAAGCAACGGATGGAAACTAATCAAGGAGAGAAGCAACCTAGAACTAAGGAGAAACTTCCTGACAGTTAGAACAATTATCCAGTGGAACAACCTGCCTCCAGAAGCGGTGGATGCTCCAACACTGGAAGTTTTTAAGAAGAGACTGGACAGCCATTTGTCCGAAATGGTATAGGGTTTCCTGCCTGAGCAGGAGGTTGGACTAGATGACCTCCAAGGTCCCTTCCAACTTTATTATTATTATTATTATTATTATTATTATTATTATTATTATTATTATTATTATTATTATTATTATAATATATGTGAAAAATCTATGTGTATTTCGGACTTTCAAAATGTTTCAGAAGTGGATTCACTTAATTTGTTTGATCTAATTTTAGAAAGCTGGGGACACTAACAGATGAAAAAGTGCCCAAAGCCTATGCGAGATTTAAAGCACCCGTTTTACCCCCGAAAGTCCTCACTTGCCAGGAAAACATGTCAATAATATCACAAGGAATGAAGACCGAGAGAGGAAGGCTGTTAAAAAATATGAAATAAAGATTTCTTAAATGTCCCGTTTTTTCCATTTCCCAGCAGAAAATCACAGGCAGCAGTTTTAAATCATGCAGCGTAAGGATAAGAACATTTGGGGAGGGAAAGAATATGCAGCAGCAGCAGCAGCAGCCGACATATTTCAGCCTCGTCCCTTCGCTGCTTCCACACCGCGGAGGAAAAGAAACAGCCCGACTTGCTCCCGGCTTCTCCTCCGACCTGCCCTCCACTCACCTCCCAGGAGCCGCTTCCACCCTCGAGACAGCGGAAGAGGATCCACCGACGCCATATTCCTCCCATAAGTGAGCCGGCATAGGAAATTCCTCTGCCCTTTCCCCAAAATCCTCTCTAGCAATCTAATCCTCTATCGTTTCAATTTGTTCCAGCTCCGCCTCTCTCCCTCCCGTATGACGTCGGCACTAGCGATGCGGCTGCTGTGTACAGAACTGTATTCTCTGCTTTCTAGGTACGAGTGTTGCTTGTCTGTAGAGCGCCATCTAGCGACGTAAGGTTGAAATGCACGCTCGTCCTATCTCTTCCCTAAAGCGTTTGCAAGGCGTTTTCATGGATTCCCTGGTTCTTTAGGGGCCATCAAGTCGTGTTCGAATCCCACCGAGCACATCGATAGTTTTTGTCCAGGACAATCTACCCTAAGCCTTTTCTTTCAGGTCTCCCAAGAGTGCAATCATTGTCCCTCTTCCTGCAACTAAATCAAAGGAAAGTGTCCTTGGGGGGGAATTATATATAACAGCCAAGGAGAAAGTGCACCTCCCTTGAGGGCTGGTGAAGATTGTTCCAGCCAGTTTTTCATCTTGCGGGTTGGGGGTGCAGGATAACTCCCTGAAACCTGCCTCTGCAACTTAGACAGAGGCGTCACATTATGCAGCTGCTTGGGTGGGACCAGAAGGTAATCTGTTGTTTTAACCTGTTGTTTTAAAATGGGGGCATAAATATCTACAGAGTTTAAAATAACCATTTAAGTGTCTAATATTTCTTATTATTATTGTATATGTGAATATGATTTAATATGTTACCAGGAAATGTGTATAGGTGGATGGAAAGAGTGTAACCTCATAGTACCTCAGCCAATGGGG